TCAAGATTTTTAATCTTAGATCTTTGCAATATGGTTATTTTTTATTAACCGACTTCAAAAAAGGAGGAGGTTATACATTTCTCGGAATATTTTTTATTTTTTTGTGTATGTTACCGCATAACTTTGGACCATGTCAACCGATTTCTATATTTCTTTTTTTTTTTGAAGGAAAGGTGGTCCCATACTAATTTGGTTTAGATGCGATCATTGGATCATGAAGATATTTGCTTGTTTTCATTTTTTAATAAAAACAGTTTTTTTTTTGGATTTTTTCGATTGTCTTAACCGTTGTAATGTAATGTTTGTGACCGATTTAAACCTTTTTATTTCAAGAGAATTAAATTTGAAAATAACGGTTATAATATGATCGAATACATAAAAATCATAAAATAACTTAAATTTCTTGGGAAAAATAGAAATTATAAAGTAACGTTTAAATATGATCCAAAAATTAAAAATTCAATTTTAACGCTCGTTTAAAGCAGACATTTTTCAATTATATGCTGCTTTTTAATTATTCCTAACTGTGTTATTGTTTGTTATTTATAAAGTTGTTGTGAAATTTTTGTTCATTGTTTATCTGTGGTCATGGATGCACTGAATGTTTGTTTGTTTACTATCTTCACTTGACGCTGATTCTTATTTTTACCAGCCTGGGGAATTTTCGCACGTGCCCAATATTTTTCCCAGTTTTACTCAGTATTGTCTACAGTTTTTACAGAGTATATACATACATACATATCGTCGTTTAAAGTACAAAACCGCGTATCGTCATTCTGCAAAAACGCGTAACTGACTTTGGCTGCCAAAAATTGGATTTGCTCACATAAGCTCTTGACTCAATTCTTATCCCTTCGTCCTGAAATATACTAGCCAGAAATGCGATTGGTTTATAAAAAAGAGAAACATTTTGAAATATGAGTGTTTTTTACGCTCTAGAAAATAACTTCTACAACTTCACATACGCGGTTTTGCATTTTGTTGATACGCGTTTTTGCACTTTAAACGACGATATGAGGCGTATAGCTTTTCGTTTGCCAATAACTTTGGAATAATATTTTTTTTCAACTATCTCCAATATTTGATATTTTACATAACATCTACTTTTTGGTTAATTTTGTTTTTATTTTTTCATTTATTTAAATTTTTTAAGGGTTTGTTTAACTTTTTCTCTTATTTTAATTTATTCTATTCTATGTATAATATTATAATTTATTTTTGGTTTTATTTTATTAATTTTATCTTATATTACTCTTTTTATTTTTATTCAATTTAATTAATTTTTTGGTTTATTTACTTTTTTAACGAATTTAAAATAATTTTATGTTTTTTTTTTGATTAACTTAACTTAATTTTATTTTATATTTTTTTAATTAATTTAATTTTACTTTTTTAATCAATTTTATTTTATTTTACACCATGCTAATATTAATTTTATTTTAGTCAAATATTTTTTCAATTCAATTATTTCGTTACTTGTTATTTTTTGGTCTAATCACAATTATATAGAAAAATTTTATTTAGCTTCAGACTGCAAGCTAAATAAAAATTTTCAATGTAAATAAATTCGTTCCATTTTATTAAAATTTTCTTTTATTTATTTTATTTTTGTAGTTATTCATTTACCTTTGTTAGGAATCAAAACAAAATTGTTTCTCAAAGTACTATTTGTATGTTGTTTTTTTCACAAAAAGTTTCATTAAAAATATCCTCAAGCTAAATAAAAATTTTCAATGTAAATATTTAAACTCGTGTTATTTTATTAAAATTTTCTTTTATTTATTTTATTTTTGTAGTTTTTCCTTTACCTTTGTTAGAAATCAAAACAAAATTGTTCCGCAAAGTATTTGTTTGTCTCAATTACTTGAATTCGCACACTTCACGTAATTTTAAATGCAAAAAATTTCAGCGTTGTGTTGCGTCTATTTTGTTAGGCTAGCTTTCGCAGATTACAGATAGTCATAAATCACTTTGCTGATTCTAGTAAAAAATTACTCATTGTTTTAAATTTCAAGTGTATTTTTCCACAATATTTATTACAGCCAATTTTACTTTTTCCCTCCACTATTCTCACTTTCAAGTTAAACGTTAGTGTTCACATAAGGATATAAAGCGATTAACTGCCGCGAGCAGCATTATCCTTTTCTTTGGTTGATGCCCAAAGGATTTTGCTTTCTTTGATTAATATTTCTTTCTAGTACTCGATCTAACTTGTTGTACACGCTACGACTTGTCACTTCAAACAGTGAGCTAATGTTTTGAGGCGTTTATCTGCAAGTCCACAATCAAGACGGTGATGATCCTCTTTGTCAATCAACTCGTTTATCTTTCTTAGCTACATACATAACTAAATACATACAAACATACACACACACACACACACACACACGCATATGTATTTACAAACAGTAATGCGCACTGCCACCCACTCACCGCTTCATTTTAGTTAGTTGTGTGTACTTAAACAAACTAATACATATATATATGTATACACATACTCATACATACAAACATATACATAAATAATAGTACAAATTTGTTTTCATCTTATAGAATGTGTCAGCTTTGACTTATCATCTGCGGTGCCGCCGCCGCCATTGCTACCGTGTTTTTTTTTACGCTTACTAACTCAGTTGCGCGCGCTTTATTCTTTGCAGTACACGATGCCGTGCAGTTGTCGGTGGCACTAAAACATACATTTAGCCACAGCTGCTGCGGCGATTGCTGTATGAAATATAATTGTTGAAATGCAGTGCTCAAGCTAAAGATGAAAAAATTGGGGCTTATGCTACACCCAGGAAGGCCTTGCATTCATTGGAAGGACAACTTGAAAGAGGGGCTTTTTTCTATAAAAAAAAAATGAGTGATGATGAACGCCCCTGCATTAGTGATGTGCAAAACTATTTACTAAATACTAACTTTTAAGGTATTTGGGTGTTTACAGTATCGGTCATATTAATAGCACCCCCATTTCAAAGCGATATTGTTTGCCACACCTGTTGATTTATTTATTTTTTTAGCAATTTTAAATAAAAATACCTTTTTTTTTTCGCTAGTAAAACTCATATAAACCCAAGTTTAAAACTTTGTAGAAAACTACAAAAACGTGCAACAAATTTTCACCCAAATCTCAAACTTTTTTCTCAGAAGTGTTAGAATTTTTGTTGAGTACACAGTTTTATAGCCCATTTAATTTTAGTTTGACAATGTGGCTAAAAATTAGCGTTGATTTTTTAGAATTTTTTATGCCGAAGGCGTTGCGGGTTTCTTCCATGTAAAAATAAATCGGCTTATTCGTCACATGGAAGGAAGCAAATGCCACAAAGAAAATTCTTAAAATTCAGCGAAAATTTTTTGACACTTGAAGCTTACGCATTATCAGACTACAATTAAATGAACTATAAAAGTGTTTGCTCAAACAAAAAGATTAAAAAAGTAAAAATCCAACACTTCTGAGAAAAAAGTTTGAAATTTGGGTGAAACTTTGTTTAATTTTTTTGTAGTCTTTTACAAAGTTTTAAACTTGGGTTTGTATGGGTTTTATTAGAGATTGAATTGTATTTTAATTGAAAATTCTTAAAAATAAATACTAGATTATGGGCCTGTATACTGTTTTTCCAGATCAGGTAATTTTTCCCAGATATTTTCAATTATATGAAAAAACAATCAAACTTTTTAACAAATCTTTCAAAATTTTTTTCATTTGTTTTAAAGCCTTTTCTTTTGTCAAAAAATCAAGCTACTAACGATGAAAATCGATGGTTAAATAAACAACTTTTGAATGGTCAAACATAAAACTAAAAAATCTTGGGAAAATGACCTGATCTAGAAAGACGGTAAATTTACCTGTCTCTGCGTTACTATTTTCAATTTTAAATAATCCTGGAGGGCGTAAGCGAGAAAATTCCAAAAGGTTTGTTTTTCCTGTCTATTTTTGGACCACCCTAATGTATATGCATCAAAAATAAAGCTTATCATCCGTGCTCCCAATTTCACATTCACAAAAATTTTGTGATTTGAATCTGCTTGCTTTGTTGCCAGTGAAATGGAAAGTATATGGCAAAAGGCGTTGAAATGTGTAATTATTTTCGACCGGAATATTTTTTTTTAATATCTTTACAATAAAAAGAAAGCATTATTTATCAACCGCTTTTTACTCGTATCTACGCGCTTAAGGTCTAAGGGAAATACTCATCGACAATTTTCAGTTAAAAGAAATTATTTTGATTTGATC